AGCACGCCCCCCCCCCCCCCCTAATCCCACTATAAGGATCCTCAGTCGAAAGCTAACATGTCAATTGAATCACCTTTTCCTCAAATCCTCACCAGCCGTCGTTAAACCTTAGTCCAGCCTGACTCAAAAAACAACAATAACAAAACAAAAACGTTATTAGCGTTTATCCCCGTGTCCTGCCACGGTCAACTCGTATACAATCATTCAGCTGATAGCAGTGTTTGTGCTGCACATGTCTACGTTTGCAGTCATTGTAGTATATATATGTAGCAATGTATGTGTTTCAATATATATGCATATATTTATTATATATGTTAACTATATTAAACACAAGTATTAATATATGTATGTATATTAATATATATAGTATTTATATATGTACAGCATGTGTATTTAAATGTACATAGGTATATATGTATATAAATATGTTTATACAGTATGTATATACTGTATAAACAGTATATACATACTGTTTATACACATGTATGTATGTATATATAGACATATATACATGTGTATATATATATATGCATATGTATATATTTCTACATATATGTTTACATTTGTTAGACCTTTATCTCGTTATTTCTACATATATGTATACATTTGTTAGACCTTTATCTCGTTATGTCTGGCCCTCAAATGAAACAAAATGGCGTATGAAAATGATTACTTCTGCTAATGAACATCTGACACTTCCTGTTATGATGTCGGTGTTTTAGTATAAACTCACAGACACCAATGATTTCTACGTGTGTACAAAGGGAGGTTTAAAGGACTCCGGGCCTGAGGAGGTTTTTGGACAAAGATTATTCAGTTGGTTCAGGAAAAGGCTGAAGAACAGGGCAGGGTGGAGTGAATGGAGATGAGGGTCAGAGGTCATGTGTGACAGAAAGGCAGCAGGAAGTTGGTGTATGCTGTGGAGACAGTCGTCCACTCCAGCAACAAAAAAACCAGTACATGAATTTATTTAATGCAGAGTTGGTGAAATAATGTATTTTTTTCCCCTGGAACCTTCACATTTGTGACCTCCAGTCTGTGTACACAGTGTGTGAGTGTGTGTGAGTGTATAGTTAGTGTAGTAGTAGCCATTCTTCTGAGGTATAACCCCCATCTGTGAGTACATGGTCGCAGAGAATCAGGACTAAGAATGCGGGATAAGCACAGTGGAGTGAAGGTCAGCGTTATTCTGTATGAATCCATATCCCTGCTCTGTCTCACATCTGCAGATGAGGAGGTTCACACTGGACCTCCACCTCCCTGCTCCACCTCCCTGCTCCACTCTCTGCTCTTTGATGCACCGGCCCAGAAGGTTTTTCAAACCCCCTTCAAAAAGAAGTGTGTGTGCATGTAGTGAAAATCCCTGAACGCAGAAGGAGCACACGGACATGAACAAACAAAGGCTGATGCAAGAGCATGTATGTGTGTATATATATATAGTATAATAGCGATTTAGGTCAAAATGTTTGACAACAAATGAGAAGAAAAAAAAAAGGTTTTTCTTGGGAAGTAACAGATCTATCTATTTTATTTAGACTGTTTAAACCTAAACACTGCCAGAGAACAGTGTTTCACTCAGAGAGCTTCTTCTTTGGAGGATTCTGGGAGACGTCTTTGAAACTAAGTCACTGGAATCCAGTTCCTTTTAATGTTTTTCTTCTCAGTTATTGGAGATAAAAATAAATAAATTAAATGGCGTCAGATCAAAACATGTTCTTTTAACCAGTTTACTATTTAATTTTTGGTTTAAAATACAATATTTGTTATAATTTCAGGGTTTTTTTGTGTCCGGTAGAAAAAAAATTATGAGGTGTTAGTGTTTGACAAAAGTTAAATGATGAAAAACAGGAGACATATTTTAGTGTCTTAGTAAAATCAGACCCCCCCCCCCACAGTCCCACTCTCCCACCCACATGAATTATGGCCTACAGTCTAAGTCACTTGACACAATTGCACCAAAAGCTGCTCCCTGGGAGTGGGTAATGAAAAGTGGAAGTCAAACATCAGTTCCTGCAGAACTGTCGTCACCTGAGCTGAACTGAGAAACAACGTAAACATGTTGGTGGACGTGAACTAACGCTTCAGACACAGAAAAATGTTAAGGTCGTGCATTAGTTGCTATGGAAGAGTGTATTTACATATAGGGGCACAGATAACTAGGAATTCAGCGTGGAACAACATCAGGCCCGTGGCTCCAAAACCTCCCAGACATAAGGAGGCTTTGTCTGAATCATCCTGAAAAATAGAATTTGACAACCATGACGTTTTTACACATGTAACACGAGCAACAAATACTTCTAACAACCGGCCATTAGTTTTGAAACAATTCCAAACCCGTCCCATCCTTTCTGGACCTTTACACACTGTAGATCCGTCTGAATTTTTTAAACCCGTTCCGTCTCTTGTGGAGAACAGATTTCGTACCATGAACCCGCAGCGGTGTGAACACTCAGAGCAGTGTCCCTGGAGGGATCTCTGGGCGATGGTTGGTATGAGTAAACTGACGGGACAGCGTTGAATCAGAGCAGCTCCCGGTTCTTCAGCTCATCCCTTATTTAGACTCTATAAGAAAATTCTTCAACATTTGCTCACACGATTTGGCAGCACCTTCAGTTTCAGGACTTATTAAAAGTTGGGAGTAAAGAGAAAAGAGGAAGGAAGGATGG